CCTCAGACTGGCAGTGAGCAGAGAGCAACAACAGACTCATGTTAACAAAGTGGCTGAGTCCAGTGGTGACTGAAGTCCTGAGTTCTTCAAACAAATACAGGACTCCAGTCAGATGAGATCATTCCACTTTCTTCCACCACAAGAGTCCAAATGGAATTACATGGCATTAGATTTGCATCCTGTCAACACACGACTCGGAGGTTTGGGGAAAGTTTTAGTAACGTTTGATTAGGATTACGGTGGGATTGGCTGAGCCTGGCCTGCTTTATTAAAGGGAAACCGAGGTGGCACGGGGTCCTTTCTCTAAAAAGACCAGCGTTCTTTGTCCCGAAAGGAAGGACATTTTTAAGTCCCTATTCAATTTTCAATTAAAATAAATAAATAAAACAAAAAAATGTAAAAAAATTACTAATACCAAATTTTAAAATTAAAAAATAAAAACGAACTAATTAAAAAAATGAAATAAATAAAAAAATGTGTTTAATGTAAATCAAATTTAAAAATACTTATATAATATAAATAAAAATGTAAAAAATTAATAATTGTGTGTCAACAAAACAAAACAAGTGAAATGACAAAAAAAAATTTCTATAGGGATGATTGGCAAATAGTCATAGTTTCAGGATGCAATTAATGCACCAAAGTAAAGCACATTTGTTTGTCTGTGCAGAGCAGGCCCTATGTGTACTACAGATATTGGCAAGAAAGTTGAACCTTGAACCTTGAACCCTTCAACTGGCAAAAACGCCCCTCTCCCCCCCGCAAAAACGTTCAGATTTTACGTTCCTTTTAAGATAAAGAAAGAAGGAGTATAAATTCCTGTACTCACCACACGGGACCATCACGGCCTCCGTATCCCTGGTTGTTAGCGATGATGTTTTGCTCTGCCCGTGGCCTCGTTGAACACAGGTCTTCAGTCTTCATATTTTGGAGCAGCCCTGTGCCGGGAATCCAAACAGGCCTGTCCGTATTCTCTAAATGCTGTTGATGAATGGACAAGTGTTAGCAGCGCACTTTGTCCTGCCCTAACAGGAAGAGGAAAAGTAGTTGTTGGTGGTGCTGGTTGTAGCGGTGTTAGACACTGTGCAGTGATGTGTTGTACTCTGCACCACCTCCACCTGCCTGCACCTCCCAGCTTGTCTCTGCAGACAAATTTGATTTATGTCTCTGTGTTTTCCAGAATGGACTAAGGCAGACGCAGCTGCCGCTCTGACTCTGACTGACTTTCTTTCGTTCTTTTTTTTTTTTTTTTTTCTTTGACTGAAGTTTCCTCAGAGAGCAGTGGGCCGTCACCCTTTCCAACAGATCTCCTCTGCTGCTCCTCCACCTTTCAGGTCTGTTGTCCAGCTGCTCTCACACTCAGGCAATGAAAAATTAAAACCCTGTCAGATGGAATAGAACAGAACCCAGACGGGACAACATTTCTGTTGGTTCTCCTGTCAGACTGTCTTAATATTACAAGTGAAAGCCTCACATGGATTCGTACTTTCATGACGAATATTCTGTCTGAAAGCAGTGTTTCATCTGTGGACTTCAAGAGTAAAAAGGTTCATGGGTTGGAGACGGCGGCTGCTGCTGCTGCTGCTGCTGACAGATACCAGCAACAACACACAGCGTTACATAACTCTTGACTCTGTTTTGACGTTGGTCGTCCAGTCAGGGTGCGGAGAGGCCAGGTCAACGTCAACACAGTGAAGCTCAGACACAGGGACGACACAGGGTTGAAATCAACAGGCAGCCAGACGTCAAAGACACCTGTTGTTAATAATGAGAGTAAAGCAAAATTAGTGCAGCAACAAATGAAAAGATTTATTTGTACAAATTTAAAGAAATACTTAACAGTGTCAGCAATGGCATAGAAAATAAAATGGCACTTGAAAATGTCCCAAAAGAACGTTTTACAGATTTCTAACAAAAAATTTGATTAGTCCAGATTTGTGCCATTTCAATTTTCCAAAATTTACATAGAAATTATAAAAACATTTTACTGGATTGCACTTGGAATTTAGATGTTGCTAAAATAATTTCACCAACGATTTTATTAATTAAACAAATTTTTTTAACCTTACCTTAAAATCCTTTAATCGGTTCTTAACACGGCGGACACTGTTATACATAAATATTATACATAAATATTAAGGCAATTACAGTTAACAGGCCTCGCCCCCTGGTGGGGCCAAGTTGTAATGTACTGCCCTTTACGACATGGAAACTTTTTTCTTTTTAGCTTGAATTGTAGGATATAATTATAATAATGAAAACATGATGTAAAGATCATAAATTTCAGCAGAAGAAAACAATGAGTACCGAAGTGCTGACCTTTTAGATGAAACGGTAGAACTTCCACTTCCAGCTAAGTGGTGAAACACAGTTTTGTTGACTCTCCAGTGGTCACGTACTCAAGCAGACCAAAGAGAAATAAACAAATTTCCTATGAAAACACAGTTTGTCTGTGTTTAAACGTCAGCTGGGATTATCATTAGAGGGTCCGTGGGTTCAACTCTCACCCACGCTGCTTCCTTGTAGGAGGTTTGTCTTGTCATCAACAGACACAGAAGAACATTTACAAGCTGTAGTTCCCAGAGGCCAGAACCCACCACATCCTGAGCTGGTCCATCTGTCTGCAGTTTCACAGCTCGACCACCAGCTGACATATACATGAGTCTGGTCAAACGTTGGATGTTGGGTCTCAACTTTATCATGCAGCCCACATATTGATGATGGCTGGAACGACAGCCGTCGTCCACCTTTTCATCAACACGAACCCTCCGTCCACAGACGGAGACTCCATGCTCCATCTCCTCACACAAACCATGACCATCACCGTCCTCCTGTTTGCTCAGGTTGACTACTGACAGACTGACATGACTGGATGAAACCAGGGAACCTTTTTTTGTACCAACTCATCAGTTTGGAATTTGGTATTTAGGAATTTCTTTTACTTCTCACTCAGAGGAACAAATCCAATGGTGTTGGCGGATGATGTGGTGGAAGAAGAGGTGGAGGAGTTCAGGGGAAGGAAAAGTTTTAAAGGCAGGGCAGAATGAGGCAAGAGGGACTGTCGCAACGTCTAAAGCAGTTTGATCGTTTTATCATCAATATATGGACCAATGGCAGCTGTCTCTCTGGGCCCCTAATCCAACAAGTGTCTTAGTTACATTGTGATGCCCCTGCAGGGAATGTTGTGGATGCACTGCCCCCATTTTGGAGATAAACTTTAAGAGGTGAAGATCAGATAATATGGACTTGCTGGGGAGAGATAGTAAACATGTTAGGAGAGCAACAGTCCTATCTATTCAATACAGAGGGCCGTCAACGGAAGTTCGGAAACCACTGCATCTGCATGAATAACAGTCAAGTGTGACCAGAATTTTAACAGATGTCTTCCAGCTGAATTCTAACCGACTGTTGGCGTTCCTTCAGCCTGCAGTGGGCCAGCAGTCACTCTGCTATCAGCAGACAGCTGAGTCCACAGCTCAGGGATGAACGTTCTATTACAGACTCACATTCCCAAAGATCCCATTAACCCCATGTGCCTCCCACAGAAGGGACTGTTTAGTCATACCAAAGACTCTGACGCCCTTTTTTCCCTCCATGTTCTTTCCCAGGCTGGAAGAGATGCAATCTCCTGTATCCTTCACTTCCAGTAGCTACAACACACCCAGGCCAGGTGGCATCTCCATCAGTCCGTCTGGAAGTGGAAACACAGCCACGTCTCCAGCAAAAGAAGAAAAAGAAAAAAAAAAACTTGAAGATTTGGATTCATTCTGATGTCTTCTGCAGGAGCAAATATGGAGCTGCTATCACCGCCATTAGTACCAGATTGTATTAATAGCACCATCTAGAGGTCAGTCGAAAACCCAGGGGAAACAGTGCAGAATTTAAAACCTGTGATATCAGACGTGCTCAGTGCTTCTGAACAGCTGAGTCATATTCCTGAGTATCGCTACATCGAGTGATGATGATGATGATCGTAGACTTGGCTAAAAGGTCAAAGGGCGTGAAGATGACGTGGTATTCGGAAACACTGCCTGGTTGTTAAACTGTCTTCCCTGACCAAGTATCTGGGAATGTGATGGGAGGAACTGATTAGACTGAATGCGCGGCTAAGATCAACATCCACGGATCTTCTGATGGGAATACGTGAGGCATAAATCATCCGTGAAGACCCGTTCACTGGCGAGACGCTTCTGCCAGCTGTTTTTCCCCAGTTTAGAATCAAAGGTGTGGAATTCGTGTGTAATGCTTTCTAATACGTGTGGCTGCCTGACCTCCAGCTCCGACTCTGTTCCAGGAAGATTCCCAAATATTACAGCCAGTCATTTTAAACACCTACTTGCCTCTGCAACACAAAAGTGGTACATATAAAAATATCCGGTATATATTTCTTAAAATTAGCATAATGGTTAAACAACTTACAGACATCACTCAGCTCATGAACGATGAAATAATATGAATTAATTAAAGTTGCATTACCACAAACTTATGTATATTTAATAGAATTTATGTATATTGAATTTTTTTCCAGGGTGGATTTGACATCATGGTCAATTGCTTTAATGTAATCCACTGCACTCAGTCCATTACTGAAACGTTACCTTTAAGTAATACAATCATTACTCATCTGTGTCAGGTTTGAACAATATGTAATTAGGAATAATTCACACCCATTACATTAATGATAATTTGATTAAACCTAAACCAAACTGACACACGTGTGTTGGCTTATATTCATTAGTGATAAAGAAATCCATTCTCAGGTCCTGCTAAAATGCTTTTCGTGTTGCACTCAAACTCACTGAGTATTTTATAACTGTGTGTTATATTTATTTCATGATTTAAAACCTCGGGGGTGTTCTCTACCAGTCGGAGTCGTCGATTTACCTCCTGCACCGACACCACCCAGTGCTGTTTAAGACCCTCAGAGTCTAACGGTGACGGAGGTTCACTCCACACACCAGGACAAAAGCAAATTTAAATAAACACAAACACTGCCTTCAGTCTTCAATATATACCAGTTTACTGTATGGACTGAAAATAATACAGTAGGTTGTGTGTAAAATGTTCCCTTTATGTTAGGGCAGAAATTACATGTAAAATAGGAATCGAAGCAGGGGAGTGGAAGATGGAGGGACAAAAATGGAGACACTGGACCAACACGCTGAGGCACTGCTTCTGCCACCTGGAGGAGAGGAGAACAAACATTCCGGTGAGTTACTATATGAGATAAATACAGCCTTAAAAACCAAGACATATTAGAGCAACATGAACAGATGTGGACTGAACTACACTGCAGGACAGGACAGTCAAGCACATCAAATACAAGACTTTATTCTTTACAGCAGAAACAACAACAACTCGCTCTAATAAAAAATATATGCCATTCCCAATACTCCCTTACTACATTTCAGTGTCTCTCTGCCATAATGGGACAGTGCTTTCAATTTAATTTTGTGTGACTGGAGTAAAAGCTCTGCTCACTTTCTGTTCAGGTGGCTGAGTTAACTATGTAGAAAGTTCATTTTAATTATGTTTAATTTATATTATATTATATGTCTAATTTTTAACCAGCTACCCAACCTAAAAAATATCAATACTGGGACTCGGTATTAGCAGGTACATTAGCGCCTAGCGACACGTGTAGGGTCACACTGCCCACACTGCATTAGTGCATGTGTCCACATGGGAGGCAGCCTGCAGTCGGTCCAACACAAACAGGACAATCGGCCAAGAATCGCTCTCAGCTTCACTGGCAAACTGTCAGGAGGTTTTCCCTGAGAGCTGGAGTTTAGAGATGACAGCGATGTTTACATTCCTTCGTCAGTGACGGTTAAAACTGGGCTAGGCTTGGAAACACTAGGACAGAACCTGCATTATGTGTTATCACACAGCAGCACTTCCTACCGAGACGGTCTGGCAGAGAGCGAGTTGGAAGTAAAGGCCAGATGAAGAACATGGTCAGAATGACATCATCATCATCGCTAAACAGTCCAACTGAAGACGCGTTCCCAGTTTGACTGTTGCCATGGCTCTATTTACAACTTAACGACAAAACTCTCTCCATAAGAACACAGTTGTACTGCACTTAAAAAAAATCCCTGAGTGAAATAATCCAGACACTGAAACTACAGGTGAGACAGACAAAAGCCAGTGAGGTGAACATCAGCTGACACCTGCTGCTGAAGTTGTGAATGAATACCAGAAGCTCAGGAATGATTTCTGCGAACCCACCTCTGTGTGTACACGCACTTCTACTCGTCGATGTATTCGAAGGGCTCGGGAGGCTCCGGCTCCTGCTCTTCCTCCTCAATTTTGGGGCCGTGAGCCGAGACGGGCTCAACCAGTTCCTCCTCTTCTTCACTGGTGTCTTTCATGATGATGATGCCGCCTGTGTAGAGCTGGTGACAAAAACAAAAGTCACTGTAACACCGTTTAAAATAGGGTCATGAAGATAAAATGACAATAAAAGAACAACCAAGAATTAGAAACATTTCCGCAAATGTTCACACACTTGACATCACTATCAACCATACTACGGTCAACGTTAGTGTAGCTAAATAAAGAGCTACAACTCAGGGTTCACAATAAATGTGATATTATTTTGAGGCTGACATTAAACTGACTGACTGCTGCGTTAAGACCTCTAGATCCAGAAGAACCAGGGCAAGAACGAGCTACATAACGCAGTTAAAAATAAATATATATATATAAATGAATAATGAATAAAAAAAGTCCCACAGTACATTAACTAAAAAGCCACAGCCATAAATCAAGAATAATAACATAGGACAATCCACAAAAAACCGTGGGACTCGATTTATTCCTAATAAAACTTCCTACATGTTTGTACTGGGCGGTTTTGAGGGCAAAATAAAAACAAAAACAAAAAAAATTATTTTCAGGTCTGTTGCACACAGAACCAACAATTTTTCAACATTATTTATAAGGCGTTTTTATAAACCACCGGACATGGACCGGATTTCAGGCTTAGTCAACGCTCCTCACTTCCTAAAGGCGCCTTTGGTTGTGAAAACAAAGCCTTAGAAGGAAAACAGCCTTCACAAAAGTCAAGTCAAGCAAAGACAGTTTTATGGGACTTGAGGCCATCATTTGTATAATTATACTCAGGGCAGATTTTGTTGGACATGAAATCAAACGGAGCGTCTTCTTTACATGTTCCGAGGTGAACACTGATTGGCTGACTGCATGTCATCCTGCCATTTACTGCAGAAAACTGTCAACTTTTACGGCGGAGCTGCAGTCGTCTGGTTTATAGTGCAGAACAGAAGGGAGAGCCGTGACTTTTTAGAAAACCTGACAAAGGCCAAAAGCAAAACTCAGGCTGGATCTTAACGCCAATCATTTATTTTGTGAACAGGACAGTAAGGCTGGTTGCAGTAAAATACTACAATAACTTATGATTTCACTTGGGGGAAACTCTGTAACATACCGGTTTGAAGGGCTGGTACCGACAGCTCTCTGGCATGGTGAGGACTTTGAGCTGAGCAGGCATCACTCTGGCTGGATTCTCCAGGAGCTGGAAGTTTGGCTCCACTTCCTTCTTTTTCTCCTTCTCTTCATCCTTCTTCTCCTTCTCACCCTCCTGCACCTCCTGTAAATGACAAAAAAAAAGAATACATTCTATGTGGTGTAGATTTGTTTGACATCACCCACTGAAAAGAGTAATAAGACTATATTGCTCTAAAATAATAGCTGTAAGGTTAACACAGACAACATCTTCAACATATATATTTTTTGTAGGTCTATTTGCACAATTCATAATATTTAGAGCTTGTTTTCTTATTTCTGTGGTGATGTATTTCTTTTATGTGTGGCAGCTGTTTGTGTCTGTTATTTTTTATTATCTATAAAAGCGAAAACATCTGAAGCTCAGATTGCAAAACAAAGTCCCCCTTGAAATTACCAAAATTAGTCATTAGATAGATTGTGGTTCGAGTGTTTGAAAGAGGAGCTCAATGATGATGACTCCAAGCAAACCAGATTGGACAATCCTATTAGTCAGAGACTCAACGTGTGCACTTAAATCGGAAAATGTTTAATTTTCCACTGGACTTTAGAAACTTTCTTTTTCAGCCAGTAGAGGACTTGGACGGTGATTTTTCTCACTAACCTACAACCTAAATTATCAGGTCACAAAAAGTCAATAAGGAACATTAGCATTTTAAGAGAAAAATACTCTGCACTTTTTCCCCCCCTTTTGAACAAGTTTCTAAATATTTCTACTGAAGAACACAAACCACACAAA